ATACTATAAAGAGGTGTCAACGACTTAGTACATAAAATACTTAATAAAGTTTAAGTTTTATAAGTTGGTATCATAGAGCAACACGGAGAACAATTCCGCCGTCCACTGTGAACAACCATTCCTAAAGAAACATTGTTTATAATCCTGTTCCACCATGACAACGAGCCGTCTCACACCTCAGCAGAAAATCCACGAATTACGGTTTGAACTGCTTTACCATCCGCTTTACTCACCAGATCTAGCCCCAAGCGACTTCTTTTTGTTCCCTCATCTAAAACTTGCGCTCAGAGGACAGAGATTTTCGTCAAATGAGGAGGCAATCACCTTCGTGAACAATTATTTTGCAGAGAAAAGCGCCGAGTACTATTTGGACGGATTAGAGAGATGGGAGCATCGCTGGGAGAAGTGTGTAGTGTTTCAAGGAGACTATGCAGAAAAATAAAAATAAACTTTAAGAAAAAATGTCTTGTATCTTTGTTAGGTCGGAAACTTTTCAGACCACCCACGTATTATAACACTATCGCTCGGTGACAGCGACAAATCCGATACAGGCTCGGATCACTTGCTCGACCGATCTACATATTGTATGAGGGCGGGCGGCCTAAATTGGTAAACAAATCCGAAACAAGACGAACGTTCTTATTGTAATTTTAAATTTAAAAATAATTAAATAGCAATTTTTTTCATAGAGCCTATTTACGTCCCTTGCTGGGCACAGGCCTCCTCTCATTTCTGAGAAGGTTTTAGGGCAAGGAAATGTCCGCCGCGCTGCCCCAATGCGTGTTGGCGAACTTCACATGTTTTTGAAATATTTTTTTTCTTATTTATCAGACGTGCAGGTTTCCTCACGATGTTTACCTTCACCGCCGAGCACGTGGTAAATCAGCACTCTGTAACGTATGGTAGACTACAGGCAACATACCGTTTCACCTTTCCTAAATTCTCCAAGTAAAATTAATTCGTTTTGTCAAGCAATGTAGAGTATCGTCTACACTCTCTTCTTTCAATTTAGTACAAGCATGTCAAACTAAATGTCGCTACTTGCTTCAAACAACGAAATTTCGTTAGTGAAGTGAAAAGTTTCAAATGGTCAGAGCATGTTACAAGACAAAAAATATAAAAATTTTTTTTTTGATGTTTGTTTTCTTGATAATCTGCAAGTGGTAACCTTTAAAAGGTTACCATATTATTATATTTTTGTTTATATTTCACAGTGTTTATTTATTACATGACTATTAGTGTCTGTATCTTGTAGGCTACATTATGCGGAAAGGGGATCTTGTACGAACACTGCGAATTTACACTCGTTATTATTTTGTTTTAGGATGGCTCGCCAAATTCACCTAAATGAAAACGAAATCGCCTGCGCACTACAATGTGATTTAAGTGAAGATGGACTCGACTTAGATGACGATAGTTTGGTGGATCCTGACTTTGAACCAGATTTTGAAGAGTCGATTGACGAATCTTTGGAAGCTGAGTTTGACATAAATGCGCTAGTAGACACCTTGAATGATGATGAGCGTAACTCCAACTTTGAGGTAGAAGTAGGGTCAGTCTCATCTAGTTCAGGCATTCCAGGTACTTCAGATCCCCATGTAAAACGTCGAAAGCCTGAAAAGCTAATATTACGGTGGCAATAAAGAATTTAGAGCTGAATGCACAGCAGCTGGCTTTTACTGGCAACGAGTCATTGAGTTCTGATATCTTGGATCTTGATACTCCTATACAGTTCTTTCTTTTTTTATTTCCACCAGAACTCATAAAGAGAATTCCGGAAGAAACAAACCTCTACGTGATTTCGTGTATCGGAGACAGAAATGCGTCAATTTATAGGGGTAGTATATATGATGTCACTGATTCAGCTACCCAGAGTGACCAACCACTGGAGTTCCGTCTTGGGTACACCTATAATTCAACAGACCATGCCTTCTAATAAATTTGAAAAGATTAAACAATATCTGTATTTTAATGATAACACTAAAAGTCTACATAGGGCCCACCCTGACTCCAATAGGATCTTCAAAATTCGCCGATGCCTTAAACGAAGCTTATGGTAAAGTTCCATTAGAAAAACAACTTTGTGTAGATGAGCAAATGCGCTCTACAAAAGCGCGTAATATGCTGACAAGGTATAATCCCAAGAAATCTCATAAGTGGGGTTATAAATTATATGTTTTAAGTGGTGTTTCCGGTTTTGATTATACAATAGAGATTTAATCTGGCAAAGAGAATGTTGTCAGAGCTGACGAGCCAGATGTAGGAGCTTCTTCCAATGTAGTAGTGAGATTATCGCGTATGATTTCGCGACACCAAAATTACAGGCTCTATTTCGATAACTACTTCACTTCCTTGCATCTTTTGGAATATGTAGCAAAAGAAGGTATCCTTGGGCTAGGTACTATTAGAAGGCATAGAATTCCTGACTGCAAGCTGTCGTCAGAAAAAGCGATTATGAAGAAAGATCGAGGATATTCTGAAGAATACGTAGCTGATATCAACGTAGCTGGTGTCAACGGTTGTGTGGAAGGACAATAAGCTTGATACATTGGCTTCCACATTTGCTGGTCTAAATCCTATAACCGAAATCCGAAGATACGACAAAAAGAACTCAAGATACATAAACATCCCGTGACCTAATGAGCGAGTATAACCGTCATATGGGTGGTGTAGACCTTGTATGTTGGCAGATGCGTCTCTTCTATCACTTCTTAGACCTAACAATGGCTAATGCATGGCTGTTCTATAAGAGAGCCTGCAAGTATAAAATCATTCCTAACAAGACCATCATGGCATCTGCAGATTTTCGCCTCGAAATTGCCGAAACATTGCGCAAGATGGGGGGTGAAAACCGGTTTAACAATACGCCGATCTATTGACGGTGAAATTCTAGCAAAGAAACAGAAAGGAACAGCCCAACACGTACCTCCACAAGCAGTCCGCTAAGATCAAGTCGGTCACAGGCCTCAATGGGCAGAAAAAATCAGTTGTAAGTTCCCAAAGTGTGGTGGATTTACTCACACGGTGTGTGATAAATGCAGCGTAGCTTTATGTTATACCAAAAACAAAAATTGTTTCAGGAACTTCCATCTGTTGTAACTGATTTACATTCTTCTCAATTAGACTAATATTAACTAATTTTTTACTGTTGTAACTCATTGTTGCCTAGGAGCTACACTCCCTTTTTTTTGTAATATTATGCTTAATTAATAAAAAATTACATAATTTTAAAAAATACATATTTAATTAATTTCATAATCCTATCCGATTCCAGGAAAAATATGTAATTTTAAGATTTTGAGTTATAGAGGGTTAAATTGCAATTAACAATTTCATTGGTGCCGGCGGGGTTCGAACACGGGTTGCTTGAGTACTGTGAAGCTTACAGCGAGCGCTAGCCATCTGAGCTACCACGGCTTCTATAAATAGCAATAAAATTATTAAAAATTACTTGTATATGAAAGGTAACGCCATCTTTTTGTAAATTTGACTTGGCATTTTCGTAGGATCTCGATTCAGCCGCGCAACTAGATTTAGTCTAGTGAACATTGCGGATAAAACTAATTTTATTCTCCCATCCAGTCTGCCGATGGTCCGTGTTGCTCTATGATTGGTATCGTTTTCAAGTGTTTAAAATACTAATTAATTAATAACAGGTAAGTAATATCTAATATTTTTAAAAATGTCAAGTTTCAACTCTACTTAACCTCTCTAGTTATTTTTATCACACCGTTTTCAATTTTAACATTTTCATTAATATTTCTCTTCGAATAATTACTTTTACTGAGTCTGGATGACGAGAATATCGACCACAGAACACAATTACTCTCTAACGAGAATATCAACAGACGAAAACAAAGTTGTCAAAACAATACGTAAGAATATAGACAGCATCAAAGAAGTGTTATGGCATTAAATTAATGTTCCTTTAATTACAGCAAAAAATATTTGTTCTACTTCTCTTATTTAATATCAGCCCACTGCTGAACTTCCTTCTATTGTTAATTAGTGATCACAGTGAATGATGTCTCGCACCTTTGACTGGATATTTTACATCTTTTTATTTTTGGAACTGTATTTAATCCTCTATCCTAAAACCTTCCTCTGTACCGTATCTTACGATTTTACGATTACCATTTCTAAAGTATTAAACTGGATCCTAAATTCTCTTACACTGCCCCCAAACAGCTAAATACAGTAGTGTGGCGTAGTACAATATTAGTTACTATAGAATCACTTATGATGAATAATTAAACTGCTGATATTATTTTAGAACCGTGAGGCATGTCAAATGATTTGTAATTTACTAGGCAAAGGTTTTCAATAACTGTATAATGTCTGCCGTCACGTAGCAGTGGCTGCACTGCTGTGTCACGCTCTGATTGTTTAGAGAGCAGAGCGATGCATTTCTTCTTAGTCCTTAGCGGTCACAACTCTTCCGTAGCCATCTTTGTTTGATGTTAGCTGCAGAGGTTCCTTGGACTGCAGGAGTCACTTAACAGCAGGTTGACTGTAAGTTCCTTTGTCGTTTCAGTTTTATAAAATAAATTATAAATAACCGCAACAACTGCCATTTATCTCCTTACTTCCGCGAAAACCGAACTGTCACCATTTTACATCACTTATAAAGCCCGTTTATGATAGAAAGGGTCCCAAAGGTAGAGATCGTTTCATTTAAAACTGCACGCGCCTCCCAAGTATTTATTTGGTAAATATTACTTTTATCATGTTAACTAGGTATTTAAAATTGATATGTTTTCTTGTTTTGTTAGAATATCTACGTTAAATGTAAAGCATATGATTTAAACTATAACTAGAGTAATACTCTGTTTATGGCAATACAATATTTGTCGTATTACACAATCATAATAAATATATCGGATACTTTTAGGTACTTCATAATAATGACCAGACTAGGTGCAAAATCTATACCTTAAATCACCTTATTTAAGATGATGCACGTCTATATTCGTGTGATATTACAAACGGTGACAGAGCAAATGCCTGGAGAGTCGTCGGTAGACGCGGGCTCGCGAGCGTTCAATCTCACTAGCTGTAAAGAATTTGAGCAAGGTGCTCGCTTCGATCCTCACGATGTTATTGACTCCCTGTGGAGAATATTCTACTTTTGGGCGAAGGGTATGGAAATTTCTGCAATATTGTTCTCGTTGCCGTCCGATAAGGTACTTAATTAAAATCTTTATGTACTTTATTATATGTCAATAAGTAAACTTTATCGCTCTTATTACAAAACGTGTTTTATGGATGATTTCGCGCTTAAGGTATGGTTTAGGAAATTTCAGAAAGGATTATTGATGGTTAAAATATGACTCTATCAATACCTAAACCACATTTTGTAATAAGATCATTATGTTAAAGTATATAATTAAGATATATTTGTCTCTAGCACATTTTTTTTGTTTTTGAAATACAAAATTAATGTAAAATAAGTCGGAAATAACTGAAGATTATCCATAAGACACTATGTTTTTTTTTATTGAATAAGTGTGACAAAAGAGCACATATTCCACATGATGGTAAGTGGATGCTGTGGTCCATAGACATCTACATCTATCCTCGATTAAGTATAAAAATGAAGATGGGTTGCTATCCCTGAGGTCTAACGTGGAATGCCTCGTTTTTAGTAAAAATAGTATCCGGTTCTCTAAATTCACCATACGAAACACAGCAGTATTAGCTGCTATTTTTCGATGGTATTCTGTGAGAGCGTGGCCCTACCCCGGTCCAACCAACCCATTCGTGCTACAACTATAACATAGCTGCAGCATGGCTCTACCACGTATTACTAATCCGAATGTGTAAGCTGAAGTGGCAACAGGTCGGCCATATGATCGGATACGAGGTATCATCAATCCGTACGAATATCATACGCCTCCAAAACACAAGCGTGTCTTTTTACCGCTAAAAGGAGCCCGCTCACCTTGGCTCCTACTTTCCGAAATGTATCCTCGTAGTACACTGACCGCCGTCAGTTATTAGGGATTGAATTTTTCTCTGAACCTAAACTATGGGTGGTTCATTGAGTCCAGAGCCAAAGCAGCCGCAAGGAAACTTGGTGTCCTTGCAAGGGTGCGGCGGTACTTCACGCCGGGGCAGCTTCTTACCTTATATAAAGCGCAAGTCCGGTCGTGCAAGGAGTACTGCTGTCACATATGGGCTGGTGCTGCAAAATGTCACCTGGCAACATTGGACTCAGTGGAGAGAAGTGCTAAGAGGCTCATTGGACCTTGATTTGGTTGAAACCAATCTTGTCAGCCTCGAGCACAGGCGCAGAGTAGCAAGTCTCTCGGTATTCTATAGGATGCATTTCGGTGAGTGTGCGCAGGAATTACACGCCTTAATTCCTCCCTCTCCTTTCCACCATCGGGCAACCAGACGGTCGGCGGGTCTTCATCCCTTTGTTGTCGATATTCCACGCATTAGAACCAAACGGTTTGCTTCGTCTTTTGTAATGCGTATAGCAAAGGAGTGGAATAATTTGCCAGCGTCTATCTTTCCGTCCGAATACAATCTAGTCGTCTTCAAGGCAAGAGTAAATAGGCTTTTGTTACGATAAGTCAGTGCGATTAACCATCTAAGGCTGCATCACCACCAGGTGGGATTGTGGTCAAGCACTGGCTTATAATAAGTAAAAAAAAAGGAAATGGTTTGCGGGTGGCAGCCTTGTACCGGTAATCGAAGTGTAGGGTGGCCCCTCGTGAAATAACTAATTTTAAAAAAGGAATTAAAGAAACCACATAGGAGTGGTTTCTTTAATTCCACTTTTACTGTGCAGTCCATACTGCTCTGGAATGCCTTGCCTGTTGACATCCAGAAAACTAGTAACAAGAATTCTTAAAAGAATTCTTAGAGACTAGTTCGAGAATTCTATCATAAGAATAATGCCATCTGACTTATTTGACTATTGTTATTTAGTGATATGTTGTATATTTATTTTAATGTGTATTGTGTTATTTTATTTTTGTATTGTATTATTTTATTTATTTAAAGATTTTGTATATAAGTACCCGTTTATATATTTACTAGCTGGCCCGGCAGACGTTATTCTGTCCTTTCAGGTTGGTGGCGTGATGAGTTTCATTTTCACACACATACACTTTTCTATATATTTAATATACGTACACCTTAGTCCTCTTTAGAACTAATAGAACCATCTGCAGCCATAATGATAATAAATTAAAAAAAAAGAAAAACATAACCCATTTTATGTTATACACGGTCATTTACTGCCCACATACAAAATTTCATGGAAATCCGTACGGTTGTTTTTGTGTGAATCGTGAACACACAATATTTTTTTACCGATTTATTATATGTATAGACTAACTGTTCCCCGCGACTTCGCTCGCGTGTTAGGGTTTTTATGTTTTTGCACGGAAGTCCCGGTCCCGGAAAGTGCCCGTGAAAAATCGGTTCAGCCGTTTCGGAGATTAGCCGGAACAAACAGACAGACAGACAGACAAAAATTTAAAAAATTGTGTTTTTGTTTTAAGTACCGTATATACTTTCAATATGCAATTAGTAAAAAGCTGTAATTTTGACATTACAGACAGACACTTCAATTTTATTTATTTGTATAGATGTATAGATTATTTATTCTATATTACGGTTACCGTTACGTCCTATTTACGTCCCACTGCTGGGCACAGGCCTCCTAAAAATTCTGTGAGGGTTTATATATTTATAATTTGTTCTATTTTACGGTTACCGTTACAGCCTATACACGTCCCACTGCTGGGCACAAGCCTCCTCCCATTTCTGAGAGGGTTAATGTATTTATTATTTGTTCTATATTACGGCTACCATTACAGCCTATATACGTCCCACTGCTGGGCACAGGCCTCCTCCCATTTCTGAGAGGGTTTATATATTTATTATTTGTTCTATATTACGGTTACCGTTACAGCCTATACACGTCCCACTGCTGGGGACAGGCCTCCTAAAATTTCTGTGAGGGTTTATATATTTGTTATTTGTTCTATATTACGGTTACTGTTACAGCCTATACACGTCCCACTGCTGGCGACAGGCCTCCTAAAATTTCTGTGAGGGTTTATATATTTGTTATTTGTTCTATATTACGGTTACCGTTACAGCCTATATACGTCCCACAGCTGGGGACAGGCCTCCTCCCATTTCTGAGAGGGTTTATATATTTGTTATTTGTTCTATATTACGGTTACCGTTACAGCCTATATACGTCCCACAGCTGGGGACAGGCCTCCTAAAATTTCTGTGAGGGTTTATATATTTATAATTTGTTCTATTTTACGGTTACCGTTACAGCCTATACACGTCCCACTGCTAGGCACAAGCCTCCTCCCATTTCTGAGAGGGTTAATGCATTTATTATTTGTTCTATATTACGGCTACCGTTACAGCCTATATACGTCCCACTGCTGTGCACAGGCCTCCTCCCATTTCTGAGAGGGTTTATATATTTATTATTTGTTCTATATTACGGTTACCGTTACAGCCTATATACGTCCCACAGCTTGGGACAGGCCTTCTCCCATTTCTGAGAGGGTTTATATATTTGTTATTTGTTCTATATTACGGTTACCGTTACAGCCTATACACGTCCCACTGCTGGGGATAGGCCTCCTAAAATTTCTGTGAGGGTTTATATATTTATAATTTGTTCTATTTTACGGTTACCGTTACAGCCTATACACGTCCCACTGCTGGGCACAAGCCTCCTCCCATTTCTGAGAGGGTTAATGTATTTATTATTTGTTCTATATTACGGTTACCGTTACAGCCTATTAAAGTCCACTGCTGAACATAGCCCTCCCCATCGATTGCATAATAGGGGGGATATTTGCCATAGTTGCCACGCTTGGCAAGCGGGTTGGCAACCGCAGGTTTTTATTTTTAGTTGTTATTAGGGAGACGCTGCTGCCCATCTCCTGATTTGTTTCCCTGTGTCGCCTTTTGCGACACCCAAGGGATGATATGGGGTAGAGGATATTCTTACACCGCCGTTACACGGTACAATTTTACAGTTACTCTATATTATATAGTAGATATTAAGTATACATATGTATATTTTTACTAACTATATTCTATTTATTTGCATTTTGTTGTATCTTATATCTTTATTACTTATTTATTAAATATATGAAGCGGCAGTTTACACCTGTCACAGTTTCTCAAATCATTCAGGGTAGACTGATAGAGAATGCCATAACGGGCCATTCATTATTTACGTAAGGATCCCGAGGAAGAGGGCGGGGGGAGGGGGGTTAAAAAGCCTCTACATGCCCTATTCTTGGGAGGAGTGGGGGGTAAAACTTATTCTTACGTAATATTTTGTAAGTCGAAATTTAATATTAGAAAATCTAGTTCCATTTCAGATGCTGAAAGATTTTCTTCATTCTATAATTTGCACTTCGATTTGCATCATCTTTTACAAATATTTATTGCGTATTAAAATTTTAAAATCTTAAATGTGCTCATTTTTATCCATTTTAAATGATATATTTAAAAATAATAATTATATTACATTTTTCCCGCGCATTAATCTTATTTCAATAATTTGGAATATAAAAAATGCTTCTTTTATTTTCAAGTAACAATAGCATTGAATGATTTCCTATTTTTTTATTCTATCATAATTCCGGTCACAATAGCATACTATTTTATTCATACTAACATTATTTCATAACTATAAAAATCCCGCGTAATTTCCATGTTGTTCAAAAACTGGTGGCTTTAACACCACTCTCTTTAATCTATATCTGACAGCAATAAAAGAGTAACCTAAATTATCTGTTGAAAAATAAAAATCTTTGATTTACGTCAATCTGTATTTTTTGTGTAATTGATACTTTTCTAAGAACATTTTATTATTATGAAAAACGAGACGATAGAATCTTACGTAAGAAGAGGGAAAGGGGGGGGGGGGGGTTCGAGAAATCTTATGTACCGTTAAAAATCGCCAAAATCATCCTTACGTAATTAATGAATGGCCCCTAAGGCATTAAAGTCTGCCCTTTATATCCCTTATTATAAGGTGTATAATAAAAGTTTAATAAATAAATTAATGAAGAGACTCCCTAGTAAGATATGCAGGAAGTCAATGGATGATTTACGTGGTAGAGCCATGCTGCAGCTATATTAGTAGTATAGTTGTAGCACGAATGGGTCGGTTCGACCGGGG